GGTCCCCCACGGGATCCCGGGGCGCGCCGCCCTCCGCTGCGGCCTCCTCCGGACCGCGCTCACCTGAGTCCGCCATCACCGGCGCCGCCTCGCCGACGCCCTGGCACCGGTTTAGATTCGGATCTGCCGGCACATCGCCGGGAGCCGTGGCTTGGGCGACGGGGAGCTTGCTGCCCCCATCCAGGCCGCTCATTTTGGTGGATGTCAGACCCGCAGCGGCCGAGCAGCGAGCGTTCCCGGTCCTCTGCGGTAAAGCGGCGCTGCTGCAGTCAGCCCCTGGCGCCGCCCCTCGCTGCCTCCAGAGCGGCGCTGCCATGGCAACCGGTGACGTCAGGGCCGTAGCATCTCTCTCCACTGCGCCAGAACGCGGCGCGCAGGTGCCCGGGCCTGTCCGGCCAGCCTCCCCCCCTTTGTCTGGTTTCAAGATGGGTTACGGATTCGGTCTTCTGGGAAGGAAATTGGATGTGCGTAAATGGATGCGGAACAAACCCGAGCGTGTCAGGGCCCTGTTAACGTATAGCCCTGTATTTCTAAGCTTCCCGATTGATTGACGGGCGTCATTGTCCAGTAAATTCGGTTCATCGGGCTCTTTCCATAAAGAAAAATGAGGGCTCGCCAATCGACAAGTCTCCTTTAGAAAGGAAGGCCTTGGTAGCTGTTGCTAAAGAACTGCGATCAGGATTTGATGTTTTACATTACAAGTGAAGCGTTGCTGGGTGGTGAAGATGTGTTCCTCGAGTCACTGGGGTGAGCACAATTCAGGATGCTGCACTCCGCCTCTTATCAACAAATTGAATGCCTTAGCTTCCAACCCATCAGATTTGACTTGCTTTTTATAACTCCCTGTTTCTTTCATAAAATTCAGATGGTATGCCATCGTACCTCATTTTTTGAAATAAATCCAAGATCTTAGTTTTAATTTAAAGGACAAACAAAAGGAAAATAAAGCGGCCAATGCGACCTAATACAGTGCAGGTGCATTGAACCAGAGACATAAACAACACCACTCTGGGTAGTTTAAAAAAAATTCCAGACCTGGGTCTTGAACTAAGGGCCTGGGCACAGTCCCTGAGCTCAAAGCTGGAGTTTTAACACTTGAGCCTCAGCACCATTTCCAGCTTTCTCTATTTATGAGGTACTGAGGATCGAATCCAGGGCTCATGCATGCTGGGCAAGCACTCTATCACTAAACCATATTCCCAGCCCCGTAAAATTATCTTAAATGAGAATTTATATGGTACATATCTTTTCAGTTCTAGGACATACTTTTATTTCATATCTTAATATTTTGAAATGACTGTCCACAGAGTAGAATCCTACAACTGCAGAAGAGCAGTCATAGTCTGAGCATGTGTGAACTTCCTTATTGTCTTCTTGACATTTCAATCTGATGGTACCAGGGCCTTGTGCTTACTTGGCTTGTTCTGCTCAGTTGGTGCTCTACCACTTGAGCAGAGCATCAATCCCTGTTTTGCTGGGTATTTTAGGGACAAATCAAGAAGATTTACTTGACATAGGAAAAATATCTAAGAGAAACACTTTCATAAAAAGGTGACATTAAGAAATGTCCTCACTAAAATTATTCAAGGTCCAAAGACAACACTTTTTAAAACCCAAGGACACCAAAAACTGTGAGTAAAGAGTGATTAAGGGCACTTTAAATGGGAAAATTAAACTAATGAAACTACTTCTTTCACACATAATTTACTTTTTACATACAGCCATGAATGATATAGGATAAAAATATGTTGAAGTCTTTATTTTCACGGAATAACAGTACATTTTACAATTCATTTTAGATTTGATGAAATAAGAAATTTGTGTGGTGGGGGGAGGAGGTAGTAGTATTAGAGTTTGAACTGAGACCTTCACACTTGTTAAGCAGGTGTTCCAGTTTGCTTTAGTTACTTTTCAGATAGGGTCTCACAGAATTTGTTTTTCCCTAAATCAGCCTCTAGTGCACAATCTTCCCACTCACATAACTAAAGAAATTGCTTTTTAAATGTATACCTGTAATCCAAGATTTTTAAAATACACACCTGTAATTCAAAATACTAGGGAGATGAGTGTAGGAGAATGGCGTCTAAGTCTGGACTCAGGCAAAAGTAAAACCCTGTTTTGAAAAATAAATGAAAAAAAGAGCTGGAATGTGACTTAAGTGATAGTAAACATGATATTCTGACTTCCAAACCAGTTCTGCAAATATCTATTTCTATCTATCTATATAGAAAGAGAAATATTTTGGGCTGGGAAGGTAGCTCAGTGGTAGAGCGCTTGCCTTGCATGCTCGAGTCCCTGGGTTCGATTCCTCAGCACCACATAAGAAAAAAGAAAAAAGCCAGAAGTGGCGCTGTGGCTCAAGTGGTAGAGCACTAGCCTTGAGCTGAAGAGCTTAGGGACAGTGCTCAAGCCCAGAGCTCAGGCCCCATGACCGGACCCAAAAAAAAAAAAAAAAAAGAGAAAGAGAAATATTTGACAGACAAAAATAGATATATAGATACATAGAGATAGAAATCTATATATATAAATAGAGAGAGAAATTTGGAATGTTGTTTTCATACACAGTGCTAGGTTCTAAATGTAAATAGTTTTCATCCAATGAAGATTTAACAGTAAATACTTTTATACAAGGAATTATCCTAATGTGGAGCATCTCAACACCCTTAATTTACTAAAAATGCCCCTCATTTACTATAAGAAACAAAATGACTCTGGTGACTAAGGAGTCATGAGGGGGTACACACATTGCACACACACAAATACACACAAATCTGTTTCTAAAATGCTTATAAATATGGTATTCCTAGTCCTGGTCACTAGAGGGAGCAAGTAATCTTGTATGTGTGTCTTGTTAAAGTTGCTCTACAGAAAATATTTACTGTAATTATGTATACATGGCTGCACATGCACATAAATTATGTGTCCATGTGTGCACTACACATACAGCCAGCCATTCAGCCCTGAGTTGCAGAAAATGATATGTATTTTTATATGTATTTTTTAATTGGAGATAAAAGTAAAAGATTAGAGTTTTGTTGAAATTTTTTTCGTTTTGGTTTGTTTTTACATTTTTTTTGTTTTGTTTTGGACCTTTTATTTTGAATTTAAGATGTCTGTGTTGCTGAGATCAAAAAAAAATTGTAGCTCTTAATGATTCCTCTCATAAAGCATGATAAAGAACACACGCCAAAAGTTTCTTTTGAAAACTGCAGTGCTTTAACTGGATTTTAAATAAACTAAAAGTTTTCTTGGCTATCCAAAAAATAAAATACAAGGCTAGAAGGATGGCTCAACAGAAGAGTGTCTGCCTAGCAAGTGCAAGATCTTGAATTCAAACAGTAGGGCCACAAATAATAACAAAAACCTAAAGTATTTATGGTAATTACAGACCACAGAGTTCACTGAAAGGATTACAGATGGCTTTTCAACATAAATTTGGTGCTATTAAAAGAACAGAGTCATAATCCGTATCCAGTCTACCACTGTTACAAATTTCTCCACAGGCTGGTTTGTGATGCCTCCCTAGAACAACAATCTCATATGGCTCTGCTTTCCCCAGTCTTAAAAGGAAATGGGACAAAGTCCCTGACCTGCATGATCTCAAACTTTTATAGGATGCGGTGGGTTGTTTGTTTTGATTGTTGTTTGTAGTACTGGAGATCAGCCAGGGCCTTGTACATGGTAGGCAAAATGCTTTTACTCAGCTATATATACCCTAACCCAAGACACATATTTTGAATCCATCTGGTTTTAAGGCCCATATCTGCTACTTGTGATAAGGGTAAATCACTTCTCAGGGCCACATTATTATATAAAATGAGTGTAATAATATAAAACTTAGAGAACTGTCGTGAAAATAAAATGTGGTATCTGTGAAGTATTTGTCAACATGAATTATGATAAATATAAGTTGACTTAGTCATTTGTTTTTATGCTAAAATGTACCAACATTAACTAGATGTAATGCAGGAGGCATAAAATCAATGTCTAAGTGGGGCTCATACCTCTGACTCAATCAATGTCCAAGTGACTCATACCTTTAATCCTAGCTACTCAGGAATCTGAGATCTGAGGATCACAGTTCAAAGCCAGTCCGGGCAGGAATGGCCAGGAAACTCTTATCTCCAATAAACTACCAAAAAACCAGATGTGGAACTGTGTTAAACACTAACTTTGAGCAAGAAAACCTCATGGACAGTGCACAGGCCCTGACTTTGCCCTAGGACAGATACACACACACACATACACATATCACACACAAATCAATGTTAAATTCTGTTTCGAAAGTTTAATTGAAGTTCAGACACAATAAAATACCCATGTAGAATAAATCAGTAAGTGAAAACTTTGTGAAAAGTTGAATTGGACCAAACAGTGTATGATTTGAATAATCAGACATCAAACATTAGGGCACAGTAATATTGATCTGCTATGCTAGTTTTTTTTTTTAAGATAGTTATTTCTAAATGGTTCTTGTTGATTAGGAGAAAGACATATTGCTGAAACCAAAGTATCACAATCTTGATGTAATATCATATTAAAGACCTTATAAAATATCTTTAAAAATAATTTTAATCTTTCTTGCAATAATTAATTTTAAGCAAATTTGCTTATTCAGTCTCATTGACAGTGAGGGCAGAGAGTTATGAATTTCAACCAAGTTTGTCTGTTCATCAGAAACACAATTCATTCACCAATATTTTAATCAAACTAGAATACAGTCACTATATCTAAAATTAAAACATTAAATATGCTATTTTAATGTTAAATCACATTAAACAATTAGCATGGTAAGATTATATATACATGTATGTGTGTACATATATGCGTGTTTATATTTTATCTATATGAGACAATTTTTGCTCTGATAGAAGTAAAAGAAAAAAGTCTAAGTGTAAATAAATATAAAAATAGAATATTATTCTGAAAAAAATAGGGTACCAAAATATAAGATTGTTAGACATTATAGCCACTATATTTCTAGGAGTCATAAGAACATAATTAAACGGTCCTCTTCTTGCATCATATATTTGAGTCTAATGTTCATTTTTTTTAATTACATGGTACATTTCCCTCATTGTTGATGAAATTGGAAGTTATCAAAATAAGCTGCAAACTCTGGTAAGTTTAGACATTACATTAACAATGTAGACTAGCATGCACCTGTTTCTAGAGCCATTTGAACACTACTCTGTGTTATCCTAAATGAAGTTGGGAACTTTGATGAAGAGGATGAGTACTAACTGCTTGTTACAAATTTAATCATTGTGTTGGCTGAATTAAATTTAAAAAAATGTACATTACCTCCACTGCTTAGAGATATCAATTCTTTACACATGTATAGCCAAATTCCACAAGCATAGAAAAATATCTAAACTGCTCTCATCCATTCTCTTCTGAGGCGAAATACAGACAGGCAATTTAATTGGATAATAAATATGACAAGAAAGTTATAATCTGATGTAATCTGGAGACCCTGCCCTCTATTTTTTTTATAAAGGTATCATTTCTAAAAGCCATTCATGAATAGATTAAGAGTAACTATTAGGTCTAGCTATTTATGCTTACTTGGGATTTTAGACATTTTTGTGGTTAAAATTAGTTACAAGCTGCTATAATAGAGTTCAAGGCATCTTAACTTGAAATAAGAAAGCTTAATTGAAAGCAGCAGCCTATCATTTAGAGTAATACATTTCTATTTGCTGAACCTCTATTTCCCTGTCTTAATGGTACAACATAGAAGCTATGGAATTACAAAATGTGTATTTCTGATCTATCTATAACTTAAAAGAATGAAGACAGCTGTATGCACTTGACACAGAACTGTAAAGTTACTACTTTTCATGACATTGGGGATTGAACTTGGGATCTTGAGCCTGCTAAGCACGCACTCCACTATGGAGCTAAATATCCATTTCCTAATATCTGAAGTTCAAATTGTGACTCTAGGGGTTTTTTTTGTTTTGAATAAAAGTTTAATTCAGGAAACTGAATCAGCTGAATCAGCAGTTCCCAGCTGTTTAGAGCATGGTTGCTAGGACCCCTCCTCCCACTCGAGAATTTCATTAGGTCAGGAATGGAGTCTAAAATTTTGCTTTTTTGTAAGATCCAGATGGTGCCCAGGTTGCTTTCTGGAGGCCACCCTTCGTGCCCACTGCTTTAGGGTACTGGAGAGGAGATTAGAAATGAAGGGGCTGGTGAGAGGGTCTTCTGTGCTTTTTAATGTCCAGAAATGGAAAGGGCAGTCCCAACATATTCTTGTACAATTCTGTAGTGTTCAGTACTATTTAGACAGTATGTCCTGAGAGCAGACTCCACTTTAGTGCCCAGATTACCCACCTATTAATTTAACTGAATACTTAAGATTAATCTTTGCCTAGTAGTACCTCTATATAGCTGATAGTTTTATGCAAAACGTTTTTGAGATGTACTCATATTGTTCCTTTACCATAAGTTATTTTGTTATGAATAAAACTGATGTGAACAAATTTTGGTGCAGTATGCAAATGTACTTTAATTATACTTTAATAAACCATTGCAACACCATTGGACACTTTCAGATAAGCTAGTTATCTAAAGGAGTCCAGGGATCATAAATCCATTCTGCAAGACCACAAAAGACAAAATACAGACCAGGTGAAGTAAGTACATACTATATACTATGCCCTGTAGAAAAGTAACTAGGTGTTCTAGGCAAACCTCTACACCAATTTGGCAAAACTGAGTAAATAATTGAAGAGTTCAAGAAGCCATCTATGAACCTCAAACATGGCTATCCCTTAGGTTCTAGTTTGAGGCAGAATCTGAGTAACCGTATTTTTTTCAGAATTTGCAGCTAAAATGCAGACTGGTTTGAAAACTGCTAAACTAAATGACCACTTGTCTGGGCATTAAATGAGAAATTAAAAATATGAGGAAGATGAGTATAATTAGTATTCATTGATTTGATATTATGTTAAACATTGTATTATTTTCAGTCATTTATTTTACATATTAGCCCTCCCCCAACTCTTTAGCAATGAAAGAGTTAGCTACTTATTCTTTTTCACTTCTCAGGGCCTAAAAGAATGTCTTAAAAACTTGTGGAATTAACTAAAATTGTATGTTTTCCCTACAAAGTGCACACACACATCTGTATATATCTCCTATGGAAAACAAGAGACTACAAGACAAGAGTTACTAGGACAGACCTTGAAGGATATACAGATAGGAGAGGGGAGTGAAGAATTTGAGTAATTTTTTACAAATGAAACAGTAGGAGAATAGTACATTATATGACAGGTACTCCCTGAACATCTGCTTATTGAGTGTAAATGTAATGTAACTTGAACAATTTCACTCAAGCATGTTTATGAGCAGGTGAAAAAAAAGTCTAGCGGAGGCATGCTTTTATTTTACCATCACACATATAAAGGGAAACAAAATAAGCCAATAGTACACTCCCACATAGAGTAATCTTACAAGAATTTATACAATTTAGGAACAGATACATCAATTACTAATTCGTTATCAGAGCCAATTATCAAAATAATCAAGTCACAATTTTATAGATTATTTTTCCACAAAGACAATAATTTTACAGATCTGATAAATACCAATTTATCCAAACTATGTTTCTAAGAATATAGTTTAAAAGAAACAAGAACAAGTTGAAAACTGTCATAAATATCCACTTAAGTCTTAATATTGTCCAAGAAAGACTTTTATTCAATTGCTGCCAAACAAAAGCAAAAGAAAGCTTGTTCAGCTAAGTTGTTCCAGTAGGCAGAAACAAAATACTAGACACTGGTAAAAATAAGGGCACAATATTAACCTTCACACACGAGATCACATATAAAGTGAAAACATAACAATTTTGCAGTTTCTTTAAAGAATCTCTAGGCAAAATACTTAACATTCCAAATTCCCTGCAGTTTTTCTGACAATTCTGAAAAAAACATTTCTCCTCCTATCACCATGAACAGAATAATACTTGAAGGGCTGACTCGTCAGCCCAGTTTTCATTCTCAGCTCAAGTTTTACCTGGCTTATTTGTCTCCAGCCATTTCTGTTCCCCATAGTTAAGGAACCCCTTACAATCTCCTTAGTTCTTACATCTATTGTTATTATTATTATTCTATCCACCTCTTTCCATCTAGATCTAGCTCCCTTTAGTTCTTTACAACTTGTTAAGGCTAGGGAGTTGGGAAGAGAAGAGGCAATCACACTTCAGTGGGAAACTCTCTTATCTCTAGAAATGATAAGGACCAACATAAACTAAGCTGTCTACATTCATTGATGTTTCTTAAGCATCTTAGGGGAGGAAAAAAAAAAGGGAATGTGGCCTGGGACTTTGCAACAGTCCAATAGAGGTTGGGATAGCTCACAGCAGGCAGTATTTGGTAGGTAACCAGTGCAGAAAGAGGAATGGGGTAGCATAAATTACAAGAAAAAATGGCCCACTGTTGTTGTCCCTTGACCATCATCAATGCCTATTGTGCACAGGCCTGTGCCGGTACTGCAGATACACAGCAGGGTGAGTAGTAACAACGGGCTTCTAGACAAAGCTAGAAATCCAGGTGACAGTAACCAAATCCAGAGGCCCTGGGAAAAACAGGGTGTGGCAAGGCAAAGGCAGTGCATTCTATAGCATCATTTGCTTCTGTTAGAAGTGGGTGTGGGGGCTGGGAAGGTGGCTCAGTGGTAGAGCGCATGCCTTGCATGCCAGAGGCCCTGGGTTCGATTCCTCAGCACCACATAAGCAAAAAGAAAAAAGCCGGAAGTGGCGCTGTGGCTCAAGTGGTAGAGCGCTAGCCTTAAGCTGAAGAGCTGAGGGACAGTGCCCAGGCCCAGAGTTCAGGCCCCATGACCGGACCCAAAAAAAAAAAAAAAAAAAGAAGTGGGTGTGAATCACGGATATGCAGCATGGAGCAAGCGTGCAGAATAGCAAGAAGGCCATATGAAGTAGAGAAGCATGACCACAACAGTTTCAGTCTTGAGATTGAGAGAACTCCAGGGAAGACGCAGAAAAGGTCAAGGGACCAAAAAAAAAAAAAAAAAAAAAGCAGCATACCCATTGCACAGCAGTAAATAGAACTGGGCCTTGAGCAGCAGATGCCCAAAGGCAAACGTTAACCGGACTGGAACCCGAAGGGTCTGGGGATCTCCACTGGCTCCCTTATTGGACGGCGTCTGGGTCTACGGATTCCTTCACGTAACAGGTAGTACTGCAGTGGATTCGGCCACAGGTCCTCTTTGATAATCTCAGCAATTTTGTCAGACTCTGGAAGGCTGTGGTCTGAGAACCAGGTGAAGAAGCTGCAGACGAGCTCTTGGTTTCTACGAATGAAGGACTGGGGTTCATACCCTCGGCGCCAGATGATGGGGGTGGAGAGAGACACCACTCGGCCGGAGGATCGGACTTCATATTCCTTGACGATCAGCTTGTTTCTGAAGTAGGGGTTTCTTCGAAAGAAGAACTTAAACTTGCAGCCAGTTCTAGGGTGTCTGAGTTCCTTCACCTCCAGATTGGTGACGTACCTTAACATCTCGGCGTCGTGGCCCCGGATCATGGAGGTCAGCTGAGGATGGTTCCGAAAGGCGGTCATCCAGAAGCCGGGGATGTTCTGAATGATGTAGTTCCTCCGCTCCAGGTAGTGACGCCGCATCCGCCCAAACTTCTGCTCCAGCTGTTGGAAGGCTCGATCGGCCTGCGCGTTCACGGTGTCCAGTTCCAGCTGGATGGCCTCCAGGGGGTTCATGCGGAGGTCTACGTTCAGGTACCAGTGTCCGGCCTCCTCCTTCCTCTCCTCCACCACCACCTCCATGTCTTCACCCCCGGGCCTGGCCTCCATTTCCGCGGCCTCCGGCGCCGCCCCCTCGGCCTCGGTGGGCCTCTCCTCTCCTCCCACGGCCAGGGCGCACGCATCGGGCTTCACGTCCTCGGCCTGCGCCTCCAGCAGCCCAGATTCCGGCCACTGCTCACCACCGCTTTCCAGATCCTTCTCTCCATCTTGAAAACAGTTTTCCAGGGGGCCGTCGGGGGCCTCTTCCCGCGGGCCTCCCACCGCCGCCGCACCGGGGCCCGCAGCGACTCCGGCCTGCGGGGGACGCCCACAGCCGGCGGGGTCCTGGGGTACGGCCCCCACCCCCGAGGGCTGGGCCGACGGGAACGCACCGGCCTCCGCCATCGCCTGCGGCGCCTCCATCTCCCCGCGGCGCTTCCCGACTCTGGTCTGCGGCCTTCGGGGTCCCGGTCAGGAGTGGCGAGGCTGCAGGATTAGGGGAGACAGACAGAACGACGTCAGGACAAGGCCCGCTTCCCTCCGCGGCCGCCGGAGCCGGAGGCGCGCAACGCCCGCCCAACCGCCGCTCGCTCCGCCCACTCCCGGACGCCGCCGCCGCCGCGTCTCCAGGGCGCTGACGTCAGCCTGCAGACTTCGCCGTCTCACGAGAACTCGCTGCGCGAGGCGATTGGTTCCCTCCCACTCGGGTTGGCCCAGCCCAGTCCCGGGGAGCTTGTGCTGCGGGAGCGCTCGCTCGGGTCGCTTTAGTGAGCGTCGGTTCTTCCCCCGGGACCCGGGGACAGTGACCACGCCCCTTCCAGTGCCCGTCCCACCCTGGTGGCTGGAGCGACTGTAGGGGGCTGCCCCGTGTCAGGCGAAAAACCTGCCCCCCCCTTTTAGGTTTTGAGGCAGGAGGACTAACATGTGAACGTTAAATACGAACCAAAATCTACTTTTTTCCCCTCAGGTGAATGGCGAACTAGTTCTCCTTTCTTAAATAGGAGTGACACGGAAAATGTCTATTCTAGAGGGGCGGTGGTGGCCTGTCCTGATGACCCCCCCATCCCCCCACCCCCACCCCACCTTCCACCCCCACCCCATCCCCATCCCCCTGAGGCCGGAGAATCCGAGGTCAAGGCCAGCCTGGGCTCCACAGCCTCCCTGGATCACCGAAACGAACGGAGCCAAAAACCAATCCTAGCCTGTCAACGATGTCGGGAGAAAAGGTCTTTTTCAGCAACCGTTACCACTCCATTGACGCTTACTGCTCAGCGCCGGTTCTCAATTTATGATCTATACCAAATGAGAGTTTAGTGCTGGGTAGCAAGGCAGGAATTAAATCTCAATTTCCTAAATTTTGCTTCATACTCATACAGTACTAGGAAGATGCCACAAATATATCTGTGTCCAGACTGATTAATTTACGAATGTTTTGTAAAGGTTGGCACTAGTAAAATACCCACATGTGCAATCAGCTCATAGATGATCAGATAGAAGTTAGCATCTCTGATTATTTTACTTTGCTAAGCTATTACTACTGAACTAAGAAATAATTTTGCAAAATGCAACACGTAGCTAACTGGTTGATTCAGTGTAAAAGAAGCAAACTTTTTTTTCTCCTAGTAGATTTACTTTGTGTCATAGGCTGAAGATCCCCAAAAATATCCATATCTCAATTCTCATATGTGACTTTGCACTTACGGTTAATTTGAGGTTCTGGAAATGGGAAATAATATTTCAATTATCTAGGTGGGTTCTGTGGAATTAAATGAACTTTATAAAAAGGAAATAGGAGTGGCAGGAAAGGTATGATGAAAAAATCTAAAAAGGGTTAGGAGAGAGCAGAGATAGATAACTAGGGAGAAAATAGAAATACTTTTTAACTTTTTGCTTTGACGCTATAGGAAGGAATCAAGAGCCTAGGAATTTAAAGCAGCCTCTTCTAGAAACCAGAAAGGAAAGAAAATGGATTCCCCCCTACGTCCCTTAAAGGACTGATGATTTCATGACATATAACCTCCAGAGTTGAAAGATGATAGATGTTTGTCATTGTAAGTCATTCACACTGTGACAAAACTGTCACAGATGCAATATGAAATGAATACGGTGTGGAGCAAGGATTGGTGGGTTCTGTGCACAGCTCAACCTGTTTCGATCAGCAGCTGCTGTCCTCCCCTGGGGACTGGCACATGGCAGTGACTTATGGTTTGAGTATCTTTATATATTAAGACCAGAAATATACTTAGACAATACAGAAGACAAAATTAAAGCCAAACATACCACAAAAGGGCATTGGAGAAGATTGAGCCACAAAGGGACAAGGTGTTGCTTTTACATTTATTGAGGTAGCATGAGGATTCAGGTAGATCCTACATAATATTTGTGGAATTTGGATAGCATAAACCTTAGAAAAGCTAATTGTGTGTCTATATTCCTATTAATTTTATTTGAAAGAGGAATTACATTTTGCCTATGTTTCATCTATTGCACTTTGGCACATGATGAACATTTGGCAATTGGAAATAAGCCTCATTATTCAGAAGGTAGTGAAATCTTTCCTAAGATTGTTTCTTTGGGAGATTATCAGCAGAAGAAATATCAAGGACTCATATATTCTTCAGGAATGGCTTCACTGAGGGAAAAGAGTTTAACAAATTTTAACATTTTTGTTTTACAGAAAATGTTTTAAATAACTGTAATTTATGATAACTTGTGGTATCAGTTACTTTTGTAACCACAATCCCATGCAGAATATCACTTTGTTCTTACAAGAATCCTGTGAAGTAATGGTACTGCAACCTTTGTTTTACTCTCTGTGGAAGGACACAAGGAGACTGAGTCACTTACCCAAAATACAATAGAAAATGAAAGACTAATGACATAAGAGTCACACTCTTTTTGTTGTTGTTGTTGATCATAGGACTTGAACTCATGGCCTAGGCACTATTCCTAAATTCTTTTGCTCACAGCTGGTGCTCTATCACTTTCAGCCACAGCACCACTTTCAGTTTTCTGGTAGTTAATTGGAGACAAGAGTCTCACAGACTTTCCTGCTCAGGCTGGCTTTGAACCATGATCCTCCAATCTCAGCCTCCTGAGTAGCTAGGGTTACATGTGAGCCACCAGTGCCGGACCAAGAGTTGGACTCTTATCTCTAATTAACCACCAAAAACCTGAAAGTAGAACTGTAGCTCAAAGAGTAGAGCTCTGTCCTTGAACGAAAAGCTCAGGATTAGTGCCCAGGCCCTGAATTCAAGCTCCACATACCAGCAAACACACACACACACACATATCAATATAATAGTCTAACAATAAGAAATACACATAATTTAGAGTAATGTCAGCTTTAATATAGCAAGGCATTAAATTCCCTATTCAAAATGGAAAATTAGTCAAACATGTAGTCAACATGTTGTTAACACTATGTGAATGGAGAGTGACAAAGGTATGTGATAACCCAATCTTGGTAAGTCCTAGAGAAATAAGATAAAAATGCTTCCCTTGATTATAATGGCACTTGATTCCTTGTGGACAAAGATATGCATTTTCACTTTTAAGTACTTGTTAGCTTTTGTATTCCCATTGACCCTCACAAGAGGGCGCAACTGGCCTTCAAGAAACTGATGTGTCTAGCCTTTGATGGAAGAGCTGTAGGATAGTGGTTCACTGTAAATTAGACATTCTTGTCAATTAAAGTGAATCATAATCTGTTATTCCCACTATTCCACAATGGTTATAACATAGGTATCTCAAATAGACTTACGTTTACGGACGTTCAACAATCAAATCAGAACAAAGAATCCATTTGGATCTGTCTATTCTGTAGTTCCCACCCAGTCATGGATTTGGTTAAGTGTTAGCTCTCCACACGCTGGCCATTGGATTGGGAGAAGCCACTTACACCTGTTGCTGAGTTCTCTCATTGGTAAAATTGGAATTATAATACAGATTTTGCAGACCTACAATGAGGATGAAATAAGATATGTGGAAATTACTTAGCATATATAATAACTTAATAGATGATTATACTTACATTTTATGCTAAAATTTACATCAGAATTAAGTTATTGGGCTGGGGTGTAACGATAAAGTACTTGCCTAATAAACCTGATGTCCTGAGTTCAAACCCCAGTACCACAGCCCCTCCCCCCAATTAAAATATTGTACAAGATGTTAGTGCTAAATTCTAAATTTCTCTATATTATTAAGTATATATAGGAGTTTGGCTATGTTGTTGGACACTTCATGGAAAAAAGGAGACTTGACTTTAATTCTACTTTAGGTAATAGTTAAGAAAGAAGTGCAGCTGGGTGCTGGTGGCTCACACCTGTAATCCTAGCTACTCAGAAGGCTGAGATCAGAAGATCATGGTACAAAGCCAGCCTGGCAGGATAGGCCATGCAACTCTTAACTCCAATTAACTACTAGAAAACTGGAAGTGAAGCTGTGGCTTAATGTGGTAGAGCACTAGCCTTGAGCAAAAGAGCTCAGGGACAGCACCCAGTCCCTGCATTCAAGCTTCATGATAGGAAAAAGAAAAAAAAGAAAAGGAAAAAGAAACGGGGCATGAAGACATCACCCTCACACTTGCCATTGCTCCAGCTATTTCTGTGTGCATTCCATACATGTACTGTCTAATAGAATAACCACTAGTTACCTGTGGCTACTATATTTAAACTATTCAAAATTAAATGAAAATTTCAGCTCATTTATTTAAAGTACTCAGTAACCATATCTGGCTAGAGGCTGTTATATTTGGAAATCATGCAACATTCCATCATGACATCATTTATTTTATCGACTAGACAACGTTGCTCTAGACATAGTATCTTTGGGTGGGAGAAAAATGGAAATGCTGGAAATAAAATGACATTGAGATAGCAGGCCCACACTTTATAATGTGCTTCAAAAAGAAAAAAATTAAACTTTCTTTTAGCCTTTGGATCAAAAATTCAATTTGTAAATTGAAATAAATATTCTAACTCAGTGTCTCAAACAATACCATTAAGATGATCCAAATATTATGGCTCTTCACCATGAAACTTATAGCTTTAAAATTAGTTATAAAAATGTCTGAGCCAGATGGCCAATAGACACATGAAGAAATGCTCAACCTCCCTAGCCATAAAAGAAATGCAAATCAAAACAACATTGAGATACCACCTCACCACAGTTAGAATGGCTATAATCAAGAACTCTAATAACAACAAATGCTGGAAGGGATGTGGACAGAAGGGAACCTTACTGCATTGTTGGTGGGAGTGTAACTTGTTCAACCACTTTGGAAAACATTTGGAGGTTCCTCAAAAGACTCCATATAAAGCTCCCCTATGACCCAGCAATCCCACTTTTGGGCACTTACCCAAATGATCACAAACAAGACCACAATAAAGCTACCAGGAGGACTATGTTTATTGCAGCAT